CATTGTCATAAGAACCCGCACGTGCTCTTTTCCTTAGACCGCGCAGCGAAGCACCTTTTTCTTATTAAAGTCGGACCAACACGGGGGATTCGAGTTATGTCTGTGTCCCCATACTCAGTTTCCCCAAAAATCCTTGGCACACCCTATTTTCGCTGTTCTTCCCGGGGCCCTTCCGCAAATCAAAACGCTCCGACCGGGAAGCAGCGCAAGGCGTGAGGTTTGAGCGTCACAGGATTCCGTGGCCATCAGTGAGGGTGCAATTTAGGTTTGTTGCGCCATGGGTTGCAGTGTTCTTCCACGAGCGACGCCGAGGTGGTGGATGAAATTTAGCGAGGGTGTAATTTAAAGGGGGACGGGGGGAGAGTGGGAGGATCTCAAGCAATGCGATGATGCGACGGAGGAGTACTTCTGGGAGAAGCTGCGTATGTCGCCACGTGTCTTTCAGGCGATGGCGATTGCATCCAGTGTGGACGAACGCCCGTGGGATGCACTGCCGATGTTGATGTCGGCTGTAGTCGGTGTCAATCCCTCATCTTCTCTGCTGGAGGCCCTCGATAGAGGTCGGCCATCATCGATAGAGGAAGCACACATGGACTAGGAGGACCACGACAAGCCAAATTGTGACTAAGAGCAGTAGTGGCAACCTTCAATGGGGGGCAGCCATCAACAACACGTACGACAGCGTCGTAATTCTACGACGATGGTGAAGGTCCACCGAATGGGGACGATGAAGGGAGCAGACAGTAGAGGACAGCATACGACACACTCACTCTAACGGGTCGCACGCCCTTGCACTGCAAGTCGCGCCGTGGTCTGCATCGTGGATTCTGGAGTGGTCCACTGAAGACCTGCTCTTCGCCTGCCCCCCGTCCATGCTGACGTCCTTCTTCGCAGACAGCCTCTATGTCCAGGCACCCTGCTGAGGATGCAGACGTGGAAGATGACGACAAGGACAAGCAAAAGGATGACCAGGAGCAGCAGCAGCAACGTTCGAAAGACGTCGACCATGAAAGGCAAGTGGGAAAGGGCAGTAGCTAGACGACGATGGTACACCTCCAGCAAACGGCAACGAAGAGGGCCGCAAGCGGCAGACTGCAGCATGGGACAAACGCCTTGTAACGTTTTTCGTCGCGGAATACAGTGGGCGATCGGAGCAAGGGGGGTTGGCTGAAGTATTCAAATTTGCCGACCGTTCGACCCCTTTCTGTTTGGCGGCACGCACTGCGAGGGAGAACACTGGTCGACGACGTCCGCGGGGACCGGCTGGCCACCAACGGTTACCGTTGGCATAAGGTTCCTGGAAGCTGAATGTTGAAGACCCAAAATGTTCGTGCGCTGCCCGGTAGGAACTCCAACAGACCAGCCGACGAAAATTTCTTATCGATGACGGGTGCCCTCATCGCTCCGATTATCGTGGATCCTTGACCTCCAAGGGACCTCGGGAGGTCCCTTGGGGAATGCCACCAAATGGTTGTAGCCCAAGGATGCCCTGAGGATTCCCCAAGGAATGTTTTCACTTTTTTTTTTTTTTGATCCCCGAGGATAGGTGGAACGAAATTTTCCTCGGGGAATTTACGTGCTCGAGGAGTGTCTAACGAGCCCTTAGACCCGGCTTTCCAAGCTACAGCTTTGCAATACCGTAATGTTCTTTGTTTACTCTTGGCTGGGGAGAAAGAGGTTTGAAAAGAATTAGCTGGGATTCCAGGGAAGGTCTTATCTCAAATTGTAAGGTTGCCATAATCTGCACTACGAACGACTTTGATTGATGCACCCTCAACTCCTGATGGGTATTCAACAACAATCAATCTGGTCCAAAATTTTAACTTGTTGGCGGAAAATACAGTTTAGAGCTGCAGCCCCTAGGAAACTCTTTCAGATTCTGTCACGGCCTTTATTTGGGAATTCTTTCATTCTTTCGGAGCAGGGCACACCCTTCGTGTAACGAGCGTGAGGCTGAGGGTGAGCCGAGGGAGAGGAGAGAGAGAGGGAGAGAGTGAGAGCACACACACACACTCACTCACTCGACACGACGGACTCGGACTGAGGGTCGGACGCAGACACAGTGGCAAGGCACAAAGTCGAAGTCTTGGATTCCGAATGCCGGAACGGCAAGTCACAGTGAGTACGAGTACAGCAGCAAAGAATTGGTACCAGACTGGTCCCCGTACCGTACGGGGAGCCGGTATAAGTACCGGTGACACGTACGGTACTAGGGGCATTTCTGCAAAGGCCCCGAGGGCAGAACTGAAAAATGCAGTATTTGAAAGTGGTGCCCGAATTGCAGCATGGCGCCAAAAATCCTCGATACCAAAGGAGGGGTTTGGAAAAAGGGTGCCAGACCGAAAACGGGATGCAGCCGAAACAGCAAAAGATAGACCAGGGATCGAGCCCTGGCGAAGTCCGTAACACTATCCCCTCCCTCTAGAAGGCAACGTCCCGGCTGCCAAAAATCATGAAGCAATGCTGAAATCTGTGAAGGACGGGATGGGGCCGATCACTGGTTGACAAGTCGAAAGGGAAGAGGGGTATAATGTGGGTGGCATGGGCTGCGGGAGTAAGAGGGAACAGGGTTTGGTACCGGTGAACAGAGTTGTCCTACTGATGAACTAGGGGGGGTTGCAAGGAACAGGGTAGTCCTACAAATGAGCTAAAGGGAAGATAGGGAGCAGCGTGGTCCTACTGATGAAACTAAGGGGACTGCATGGTTCGCTATAGGTTAAGGGGGAACAAAGTTCAGGGAACAGGGAACTTCTATTGATGTTCTAGTGGGTAAGGGAAACGGTGTTCAGGAAAACAGGGTATTTCTATTGATGTTGTAGTGGGTAAGGGAAACAATGGTCAGGGGAACAGGGGATGTCTATTGATGTTCTAGTGGGTAAGGGAAACAATGGTCAGGGGAACAGGGGATGTCTATTGATGTTCTAGTGGGTACGGGGAACAATGGTTAGGGAAACAGGGATCTGCTAATGATGTTCTACAGGGTTGTCAAAGTCAGGAAAAATAAAATGAAAATGTTTGTTCAGGATGCGAAGGCTGGTGTGTCCGAAGGAGTCGGAAGCAGAATCTCATGAAGGAACAAAGTGTCCAAGTGTCTTGAAAAGGGGTCTGCAGTGGTCTTGATCAGGTCTTTGGAGTAGGTGGTAGAAGCGGTCTTCAGCAGCTGCGATAGGTAGAAGTCCAAGAAGCGTAGTAGTAGTTCAAGTGTCAAAGTCCAAGTGCTAGGGTGTGTCCGGTACACGAATTGCAATGAGGTCTGATCTGGAAGCAAGGAAGTCGCAAACTGATGCAAAGCTCCATGTCACAAGTTGCTGCTCCAGTAAGTCCGCGAGTCGGGATGCCGGCCAATAAAACAGCATGGTGGCCAAACCAGCTGCATAATCTCCATGAACAGTGAGGCAGCAGGCCATCGTCCTCGTGCGCTTGCCATTAGATCCTTTATCGCCGGCGTCACGCAAGTTCACAAGCATTGGACAAGAKAGACAAGGTAGTGGAGAGGACAGATGGGACWAGGCTAGGYGAGGGCAAGGGCAGATCAGACATCARGAATGAGAATCAAGGGAAGGGTGGACTGGGTTCAAGGGTGTGTGTAGAGCAGGGTTGCAAGGGTTTTTAGCGGGGGTTTATGCCATAGTGATATAGGTATYTAGGACGTAGGATTAGCACGATCATAGGCGCGGACAAGTTTCATGGCGTTCTTAAGATTAGAGAGAGGTTCCCATGTAGATTCTTCGTCGGGGTATCSGGTCCATTTGACTTTGTATTCAGTGATTGGTTCCRGATGATCARATACCTGAGTGGTTCGTCGGCCGATGATGGTTTCGACAAYGAWYYCAGGGCMTGTGGGTAGCATGATTGGTGGAGGTCTAGGATATGGGCGGTCGGCGAACTGGAGCGGGGATTCATGGTATTCTTTTAGGTACTCGACATGGAAGACTGGGTGGACAATGTTCAGGTGGAGGGAGGAGTGGGAGTAGAAGGGCAGGGTCCCGTGGAGTGAGGGGCCTGTCGAGTAAAGTGGCTAGCGTTGGGGCAGTTGGTCTGTTGATGACCTAACTGGAGGCAACGAAAACACCCGTTGTGTTCTTGGAGGTATATGCGTTCTGCGGGTGTGAGTTTCTGGAGGCGGCGGGGTGGAGAGGAAGAAGGCGGTCGAGAGGCACGATCTTGGCATCCCATCCGTATAAGGTGGGCGGTCTGGAGGTCCTCGATGGTGAATTGGGAGGGGTCGAGAGAGGCAGTGTCGAAGTCGTCATCGGAGGTGGGTTGAGTGGTGTCGTTATGGAAAAAGAGGGGGCGGGAGGGAGCGGGCGCGGACTGGTGATGGGGGTGGAGGAGTCGATCGTGGTGAAGCATGCGAGAGAGGAGGTCAGCAAGGGGCATGTCAGGTTCGTGGGCGAGGGCGGTGGCAAGATTTTTGTGGCATACTCGCTTGATGCGGGAGATGAACGCAAAGTCGGGAATGACGGTGGTGGGAAGGTGATGGCCGAGGGAGCGGATGTATTGGACGAAGCGGTCTGTGGGACCGGTTTGGCGGAGGTGGCAGAATTGTTCGAGGCAGTCGACAATGGTTTTCTGGGGGCGGAAGGTGGCAGCGAGAAGTTTGGCCCATTGGAGGAAGGAGTGACGTGGTCCTCCAGAGGCTCGGCGGTTGCTGACTTCAGCCATCCACCATTTGGCGGCATTGCCGAGGAGGCGGAAGGTGGCAATGGGAGCCAATGGGCAAGTGGCATGTGGTGGAGGTGAAAAGAGTTCTGGAGYTGGGTTAGGAAGAGGAAAACGTCCTCGTGGGGGAGGCCGGAGAAGGACATGATTTCGCCGGATCGGAAGGAAYGGGGGATTTCCCCGTYGCSGTGAACGATCTGCGAGAGGGTGTTGAAGCTGAGGTTATCGGGGGTGGTGTCGTAGCAGGTGTGGTCGATTTGGTTGTTGTCCTCAAGGAGGTGGTTGGGGGGGAGTTGTGGCATTGCGGGGTAAACCCCCGAGGTGGCTTGGGAATAGGTGGGATGGATGGTGGGGATGGTGGAGGTGGTCATGATGGGTTGGGAGAGGGTTTGGGAGTGCGGGGGGGGGAGAGGGGTGACATGGATGGGCGAGGAATGAGGCGGTTTGCTGGATGCGCCGGATGAGAGAGGAGGTGGAGGGAACGGGACGATGGTGGAGGTTGAAGGGTTGATGGATGTGGTGGTAGAGGTGGTAGGAGTGGAAGAGGTCGGCGGGGGGCTGTTGCTGGAGGCGGCTGTGGAGGAGGGAGTGGTTTGCACTGTGGAGGTTGGAGTGGTTTGCGCTGTGGAGGAGGGAGTGGTTTGCGCGGTGGTGACGACCGTGATGGAGGGGATGGTCCCTTCGATTGTGGTGACACGGTCGCATATGGACAATATGTTGGCCTTTATGTCATCGAGAGAGGCGGTGACGGAGGTTCGGAAGGTGTTGAGTGCGTGGAGGATGGCGGAGAGGTCGAGGGTGGCGGTGTTTGCAGGTGGTTGTTCGCCTGCGAGGTTGCGGGCGAGGCTATCAACTGAGTCGGTGCGGATGTCGGACATGTTGATGGAGGATGCGGCCATGTCAGGGGAAGAGGGGGTGGAGGACGTGGCCTGAACGGGTGTGGAGGATGCCGCAGCAGCAGTGGCGGCGGCAGCAACGGCGGCG